GTTCTTCTCTCTCACTGGTCTCACTCTCACTCTCACTCTCGTTCTTATCTCTCACTCTTTCAACTCTTGTTCTTCTCTGTCTATCAACTCTCTCACTCGGTCTCACTCTCACTCTCACTCTCGTTCTTCTCTCTCATTCTCTCAACTCTCGTTCTCTCTCACTGGTCGATCTCCAGTGAGAGCTTCGTGTCGATCTCCATCGCCGATCTCTCACTCTCTCAACTCTCTCACTCGATCTCTCACTGGAGAGCTTCGTGTCGATCTCCATCGTTGATCTCCTCCGATCTCCTCATCCGCCGATCTCCACCGCCGCCCTCCTCCGCCAATATCCTCCTCCGCCGCCCTCATCAACTTAGATCTATAAATTTTTTTTTGATCTGTAATTTTTTTTTGATCTGTAATTTTTTAATCTGTAATTTTTTTTTTTATCTGTAATTTGATGATGAGCTGTAATTTTTTTGTTTTTGATCTCTTTTGTTGATGATGAGCTTTATCTGTTTGTTTTTGATCTGTTGATGAGGATCGGGGAATTTCGGGGTCGGGAAAACCTGATCCCCGTTGGGGACGGGGATGGGGACTGTGAAAGGTTCCCCGTTGGGGATCGGGGCCGGGGATAGGGAAGTTTTGGCCATCGGGGATCGGGGACGGGGAGGGTGATCCCCGGCCCCGCCCCGCCCCGTTGCCATTCCTAGAGATTAGAGTAGATGTGGTCCATAGAATTAAAGCGGGGTGGCTTAAGTGAAGAAGTGCGTGTAGGGTACTGTGCGATAAACGAATACCCACTAGACCAAAAGGGAAATTCTATAGAATGGCTATTAGACCAGCGATGTATGGGTCAGAATGTTGGGCAACTAAGAAACAATATGTAGATAAGAGGAGTGTTACTGAGATGATGATGCTAAGGTAGATGTGTGGCAAGAGTAGAAAAGATAAATTATGAAGGAGTATATTTGAAAATGGGAAGTTTTGGCCATCGGGGATCGGGGACAGAGAGGGTGATCCCCGGCCCGGCCCCACCCCGTTGCCATTCCTAGAGATTAGAGTAGATGTGGTCCATAGAATTAAAGCGGGGTGGCTTAAGTGAAGAAGTGCGTGTAAGGTACTGTGCGATAAACGAATACCCACTAGACCAAAAGGGAAATTCTATAGAATGGCTATTAGACCAGCGATGTATGGGTCAGAATGTTGGGCAACTAAGAAACAATATGTACATAAGAGGAGTGTTACTGAGATGATGATACTAAGGTAGATGTGTGGCAAGAGTAGAAAAGATAAATTATGAAGGAGTATATTTGAAAATGTATAGGAGCAGTACCGATAGAAGATAAGTTGAGAGAGAATAGATTGAGATGGTTTGGTCATATACAACGGAGACCAACAAAGGAAATAGTGAAGAGATGCGATATAATAATAGTAGATAGAATAGAAGTATTAGGGAAAAGGGATGACCTAGATTGATGTGGGCTACTGTAGTAAATAGAGATATGAACCTCCTTAATTTGACTAACGAAATGGCTTTGGCTAGAGTTGAGTAGAGAAGAAAGATTCATATGGCCGACCACATTTAATGAGACTTAAGGCTTGATTTGGTTTAGTTTAGTTATTGATGATTTTTTGAAATTTTTTCATATTTGTCTTTTTCATTCTAAAGACAAAGTTCAGGAGAAATTTAAAGTTTCAAAAGTAGAAGTAGAAATCAATGAAATGTTAAAATAAAAAGACTTGGGTCAAATAGAGGTGTTGAATATCAATTTCCTGAATTTTGTGAGAATGGAGGTATTATTTTTCACTCAATTGCACCTGATATTCCATAACAAAATGAAGTACCAAAAAGAAAAAATAGGACCTTAAATGATATGATTAATCCTGTGTTATCAAACTCTAGTTTAAGTTATGTTCATTGGGGTGAAGCTTTTCTTACTGCATGTCATATACTTAATAGAATCCCTCTCTAAAGAAAGAACATTTCTCTTTATGAGCTTTAGAAAAATAAGAAACCTAACTTGAGTTTCTTTAAGAACTTGGTTTTTTTTTTTTTTTTGGGGGTAATTTAAATTTTATTCAAGCCAAAGAACAAAGGGGCATACCCTCAAACACCCTCAAGACTATCTAAACCAGCAACCTAAAAAAAGGTTCTAAATTGACTATATATGGAGGATAGATTGGGTAACTCCCCAATCCATACAACTCTGCCAATTAAGAAAAGTTCTTCTAATATTCTTCAAAGAACAAATTCTAGCTCTGATATATCAAGTGGAAGTAACATCGGTGACCTCTAGATGATTAGCAGCTTGCCTAAAAATTCGGTTATTTCTTTCAATCCAAATGTGGTAAACTGCACAAGACAAAGACAAATAAAGAGTCATACTTCGCTGAGACTTGCCTGAACATTGCACCACTGAATTTCCTCACTCCAATCCAAAACACCTCTGTTGGTTTGATAAATCTTTAACAGATTATCCCGTATATACTGCTAAAAACACATGCTTATGGCTTTCCTGAACTGCATTACATAGCACACATAGGGGTTCAACCTACATTCCCCATTGCAACATTCTATCCTCAGTAGTTAGCCTCTACTGACAAACCAACCATAGAATAAAGGACCATTTAGGAACCAGTCCTCTAAACCAAACAATATCATGCCAGATAACTTCAGATCTCCTAGGTCTAATGGGGTCCCAGGCTGACTTCACAGTATAGGAACCATTAGGAGTAGGAACCCAAATAACTGCATTTTCCATAGTAATATCAGGCACAAAAGAAGCAGGGGTAAGAGCCATAACCTGTTGCTGAACTGTCCTATTCCTTTGTCTGTGCTGTGCCAATGCCATCCATGCTCTGTCACAATGGCAGAAGCTTTAGCAAGCAAGACTCTCCCAATATTTTGAACAATAGAATTACCAAAAAGTTTCAATAAAGGACCCAACGGGTGCCAATTATCAAGCCACAGAAAAGTGTTCAATCCATTCCCAATTTGATATTGAATTAAAGGCTGCCCAATCTCTCTTAGCTTAAAGATCTTCCTCATAGACAAAGAAGAATCTTTAGGAAGCTCCATAGCACAAAAACAATGGTCCTTTATTTTAAGAATGATTCCATTTTACCTATAAAGAATCATCTTTTTTACTAATAACCCACAAAAGTCTTAAAATGCTTGCTTTATTCCAACTATTCACATCTCTTATACCCAAGCCCCCCATAAAGAACTTGGGGTTGTAAGGCAATAGTTATATTGCCTACACTTAAAAGGAATAAATTAGTTGTTGCCTTGTAGAAGACTACTACTTGAGAGTTGGTTCCTTTGCCTACTGCTAACAAGAATCTGGTTAGTTACAAATGGGTCTCTAAAGTCAAGACTTATTCTGATAGTTTTCCGGAGCGCTACAAAACTTGCTTGGTTGCCAAATGTTTCTCACAGGAGTATGGTCTTGAATATGCAGAGACTTTTTCCCCCATTGCCAAGATGACTGCTATCCGTACTTTGATCTCTATGACTACTGTCTTCCATTGGCCTCTCTATCAAATGGATGTTAAGAATGCTTTTCTTAATGGCTATCTCACCGAGGAGGTCTACATACGTCCTCCCCCTGGCGGTCCACATTCCTATGGATAGGTTTGTCATCTTCGGCGTGCTCTTTATGGTTTGAAGCAATCTCCTTGTACTTAGTATGACCACTTTTAGACAGTTGTTACTCAGCTTGGATTTCATCCTCTCCTTGCGCTTTGCGCCTAAGTCCCAAGAGACCTTCGGCGCCTTGGTGCGCCTTGAGCCTTTAAAAACATTGATTCTTGTATTACAATTTACAATACAATTGAATAGACAGATTATTATTCAGAAATCTTACAGTATCATCATGTGCATTGTAGACCAATTAATGCACATTTAAGGAGAAGTAATTTGATCCATGTGTAGGATGATAAAATAGATAGAGGAAGGCTAAGGAGAACATGTCTTGAGGCATAAAAAAGGACTTAAATAACTTAAACATATATGAGGCTATGACTTTGAGTAAAATTAATTGGAGAAAATGGATTGATGTAGCTGATGCTGACCCCAATTAATAGGGACAAAGGTTAGTTGAGTTCAGGGTATTATTCTCCAACTATTAAAATAATTAATTTGAGAAAAGATGAAGATATAAAGAAATCTTTATGCGTTGCTTCTTTGAGTAGTGAAAGTTGAGGCCTTGTTATAATTTGTGTACAATAAAATGATAAAAATTTTATGAAGTTAAAAGTACAAAAATACAAAATAGTTAGAAGAGAATTCCCCAACTTTTAAACAAATTTTGGATACTTGTTCAAATTCATAGAACACATAAAAATAATATAAATTCTAGACGTATGTTCTTGACACAATTTCCTTTCATTAAAAAAAATTCACATGAGCGAAATGATTCATAAAACATAAAGAAATCAACTAAGACACACTTACCCTTCTATATTTTTATTGGAAAACGTAGAAACACCATCTATATACCCCATGATTTGCTAAAGTGATATTTGGACATATCCTATAAATGTATATATGTGGTTAAAGACAGCTAAACCTACATCAAGATTTAAGCCTTGAAGTTGAGAATTATTATTATTTATTATTTATTATTTTTTTGATAAATTGAACTTCAGAATATTTGGCATTACAGGAATCTGAAATCAAACTTTGGGTTCCTCATAATGCAACTCCAACCCCTGTGGAAACTAGTTTGGGTTGAGGAACTTGGTACAATCAATAATCAATTCAACAAAACTACATGTATATGGAAGACATCATGATTTGATGCCCAAGAATGCAAAGCTTCAGCAGAAATTCAAAGTTCAATTAAACTCAAGCATTCTCAACTGCTGCAAGTTTGCTTGTTTGGTTTAGAGGAACTACGCGAGTTTGCTTGCTTGGTTTAGAGTAAGTTGGACCACTTTTCACATAAGCAACATCGTTCATGTTTAACGTGAAGAAAACACACACACACATATGCATGTATGTTTATGCTTCTTACCTCACTATATTCAGGCATTAAATACTGTAAACATCGTTGTGCAACATGATTGCCATTCATGCTCTTTATCAAGGTCACGATACCGGGCTTCAGTGAGGAGACAACCATAGAAAAATGCTCTGGAGTCTTAAGGGTTTCAATAACCTTCTGAACAGCCCGAGTCCTGTGCATGTGAAAAACAACTAAGCAGACGCTGAAAATATCAAGAAAACTGCAACAAAAAAACAAAGAGGGATCAGAGAGAGAGAGAGAGATAGAGCATACCCATGCATGTCACATGAAATCCTAACAAGGTCCCCAGATTTTCTAGTGATTGCACGAAGTATCTGCATCCGTTGATCTTCATCACACACTCCAAGCAGCTTCTGGACAAGGTAATTCCCAAAAGGATCTGTCATGAGCTCAACTATATGCACAATAATCTCCAGAAAAATCTTTTCGATATCTTCTTGGGTGCCCTCTGTAAATACCCTTTGCAAAAAGCGGCACCCATATTGGTCCTTTGCCATGAAATATATTCTACCAGAAATTCCATCAATAGAGTTGTACTTCTGCATCAGTGGCCTTGAATTATTATGTTTCAGCTCAGCAGTATTGGCCAGAAAACCTTTAGAGATCACACTACCTAACTGGAATGCAGCATTTGAATTGGATAAACTTTGATGGTAGTAACCATTTGAGAGAACTCTTCCATTCTGGTTGACATCTGCAAGTAGTTCATTTCCTCCAAAGGAGCCAAATTTGAATGATATGAGAGAATTCTGTTCATGTGATCTTGTTGAAGTCTTTTCAGGAAAATTATGTCTCCCCACTTTGTCTGAAACTTGCATTTTGTTAAAATCTGTGGAGGAAAGGGCAGGATTAGATAGGTGTATGCTCGTTGAAACTGTAGCCTTGTTCCACACGGCATCTTGATTTGTCCTCTCATTACATGGTTGCCTGAAGTTCTGATTCATTAGCCTATCTGTCACATTCCTATTTGCTTGAATTGGATACTGAGCTTCCAACCGCCGACTCCTGAGCTGTTGCATATACAGGTATTGCTGATGCATTCTGTTGTAATACTGCTCCTCTTCCATAGGCCTCCATGTAACATGAGGCTGGCTTAGTCGTTGTGAATGTAAATAAGGAAGTGGAGACTGGGAATCCACAAAGTACTGTTGTTGGTGAGAAAATATCGGAAACTCCACTCCGTGAACAGGTACATTTAGGAGCTGAAAGCCTTGCACTGCATGAATGAATGGCATGGTGCCAGAAAGATTTTCAATTGTTTGGCAACAACCAACTGACAGCTTCTTGAATTCTTGAACACTGACCTCAAATGAATTTGAACTTTCTTGGAAACCTTTCTTTGCATCAACCCTTTCAAAACCGCTAGATGAATTATTCTGTGATGGGAAAGAGGGGACAAACATTGCCCGAGAATCCATACTAAAAGGTAGTTTCTTTAAGCCATTTGAGTATTGCCCATTTAACAAAATAGTATGATCTTGAACGGATTTGAAATTAACCAATGGAGGACTTTCAGCTTTTGTTGTTGCCCCTTCATTGAAGCTCAATTCTGCAAATGCAGAGGTCAAGAACTGGTCAGCAGGCAGATTTGGTTCCTCTTGTTGGATCCTCTTGATGTGTGATTGCTCAATTCTATTCAGAGGTAACTTTCCTTTGTCTAAACTCCCGTTGTTCTGAAGTTTCTCACTGAGCATCACTTTTGATGGATCCACGCATAAAGGCTTGGAGCGTTCCAAGGACAAGCCATCATCCAAAGGCACCCTTTTAAAGTCTTTCAAGGAATTGATGATTCCAGATTCCTCAGAAAGAGGAGCCTCAGAAGTAGCATTAGGAATCTCACCAAGAAGCTCCTCAAATTCATCCAACTCTAGTTGGTTAATTCCCTTTTCCATCTGGTGAATGCCAGGAAATTAAAGAATCCCTATTCACAAATAAACAAAGCAAGCTATATTCTGGGCAATGTAGATCCCCAAGAATAGACCTTCAATGCAACAACAATCTGTATCCTGAAAACCCAACCATAATGCAGTATACAATCAATATTGATCAAAACCCATTAACCAAAATATTGCCAATTTGTATAAAAGACTCACATTTTGAAACTGCAAAACTCCCAGAAATGCTTTCTAAATAGAGATTTCAGAGGAAACCAAAGTGTCCAATGAAATTCCAGTGAACCAAAACCTTTGAAAATTACATCCAACCTACCTCTATAATATGTCAATTGATCAGAAAAAAATATAAAGAGAGGATTCATTATCTAATGTTATATGACCATAACTAATCTCTAGAATCTCCCAACCCAGAAGTTAAATTTGAACATCTTAACATCTGAATGTATGTGCAAGCATGTTTATGGATATATATTTCTACAACGGCAGGCTCATTGCATACAATGCATAGATTGCAGTCAATTTTCTTTCTTCCTTCTTTCTTTTTTTTTTTTTTTTTTTTTTTTTTTTTTTTTTTTTTTTTGATTCATATAGAATTTGCAGTCAATGAAAACACATTTTAGTGACAATGAATGCCATTATCCCCAACTTAACAATTCGCAACTATGTCATCATCATCCTAGTCATCAGACCACTTTCCTCGATTTCCACGTCCACAATTTAAAAGTAAAATTATTATTCTTGTTATACATTTTAATAATTTTTTTAAAAAAATATGACAAATAAAGCTACCCAGAACCAATAAAATGGAAATAACTCAGATTTATAAAGAAAGAAAAGCCAGGAAAGAAATTTGTACCAATTGAATCAGTTCATCAAATGTACGAAAACCCAGATCATGAATAATCAAAATCAAAATCAAAATCAAAATCAATCCTCAACTAGTATATGTATATGTGGAAACAAAGGCAAACCCACGTTGATGAGGACATACCGAGCGGAAAGAAACGGCGGCACTAGATACAGAACGATGAGGAAGTCATGGCTATAATGTGAATTCAACAAAAGCTTTTTCAACAAATTTGGGAAAGAATGCAGAGGCAGTGGAAGTAAGATGAGAGAGAGAGAGAGAGGCGGCGTAGAGAAGGAGAGAGAAAGAGAAGTATTCAAAGGAGTGAAGAGACAGAAAGAGAGCATTGGCATAAATGACCAGACCATTACATACAAACACCAAACAACACACCCCCAACTACAAAGCAAAGCAATTACCATGACTCATGCATGCCTCTCTCCTCGCCCCCCCCCCCCCCCCCCCCCCACCCCCCCCCCCCCCCCCCCTCTCTCTCTCTCTCTTTCCTTTTCTCAGCTTCTTTTTGTTTGGTACGTTTTTGGTTTTTGGTCATCCTTTAATTATATTTTAAATAATTTATCTTTTTATTTTTTTATTTTTTTTTATTACTCCTTTCGTCTCAAAATAATGATCCCTTTTAGGAAATTCAACTTTTTTTAGGAGTACAATTATTACATTTGAAAAAAATTAATTTTTTAAAATTATCCTTTTGATAGTACATTTTTTGAAAATATCAATGTCATAATTGTACTTTTTATATTGTTTATTAATTTAAAAGAAGGACAAAATAGGAAATTTGTATTATTTTTGTACTTGATTTTTGAAGAGGGACTAATATTTTGAGACAATGAAAAATGGAATAAGAGACTAATATTTTAGGACGGAAGAAGTACATTACTTCTCTACTTTTTTACATATATTTTCGTAAAAAGATAAAAAATACACTTATTTAAGTCATCCCAAACAACCCCTAATTAAGAATAATATTAGAGATTACACATGACCAACAAATTCATTTTAAAAGAAATGGGATGTAACAAATCAGAATTTGACATCTATCTTTAAAATATCATTGTGAGAGTTATTTTAAAAATTTAAGGCTATCGTTGGTTGTGTTTTAGAAATATGATTCTACGCCCACTCTTGAGGATGACGTTTGAAACGAGTTTGCAGAGAGCTCTGAGACAGGCGTGCGTTTTAGAATTTTTTTTTTGCAAATTTTGGCGGACGAGACGTCCGGCCAGTCGTCCGGCCGATTGATTGGAGTAGTGATTTTTTTTTTTTTTGGCAATTGATATATAATCGAAAAAAATATTTTCTGAAATTTTTAAAATTTTTTATGTGCTTTAAAATAATTTTGAGTTGTATGAGTTGTAAATTTTTATATCAAATATCAAATGTCACATCAACAATTTTCCACTCAAATCAAAACTCTTTTCAAAACTCTTTACTAAATAAATTTTCTACACTCAAATCATAATTTCAAACTCTACAAATTCAAAATGCAACTCATACTCTCAAATCATAATTACAAAACGCAACCAAACGCAATCTAAAATATTTTTCATAAATTAATTGTCAACAAACATAAGGTTCTTCCTAAGAATATAATATGCTTATGGGTTCATTTCTTTCGCATTGATCATTTTAATTGGAGACAGTGTTTATGTTTAGTATGTCTAATTTGGAATCAATTTTTTTTGAATTCGTTAAATACAATATTTATGTAAAAAAATAAAATGATTGAATATCAATAATTATATATTTAAATTACATTTGTATTATAAAAAATAAATTGTCATTCTTAAAATTATTTTTATTGTTTATTTTTTCAAAATAAATATTATTTAAATATATAGTTATTGATATTCAATCATTTTGATTTTTTACATGAATATTATACTCAACAACTTCTAAAAAGTGAATAATTTACATCACTAAAATTGATTTCAAAATGAATTATCAAACTCAAACATTCTCTCATGTTAAAGATGACAATTGGAAAGAAAAAAAAACATAGGTTTATATATCTATCATAAAAACCTATGGAGTAATATATTCCTATTTCTTGATTATAGTCTTTATCTTTTCGCTGTTTCCAGCCTCTCCATGATATTGTTCATAAAAAAATTTACAAATCAAGTGTAATTCTAAAAAATATGATATTGTTTATAAGAAAAATTACAAATCAGGTGTAATTCTAAAAAAACAATTACATACGCATGGTGATGTTTGTAACTTTCATAATTAAAATTTATAAACTGTCACTAAATTAAAAAAAAAAAAAAAAAAAAAAATTTAAACCATAAATTTTTTTTTTTTAATTTGGAAAATAACCCTCCCAGATTTTGGAAGCTATAAAACTTTTTAGGGCTTCTCCGTTCAATTCATATATATATATATATATATATATATTAATGTATTTTTAAAATATTTTAATTAATTTTTTTTAATTTTTAGATTCATTTAATCTTAACATATTTAACATGTAAAAAATTTATAAAAAATCTTTTAAAAAATTCATTGAATACAACAAAATACGTCATATTTTTTTATTTTTTGTGTTTGGTGAATTAATTTTTTTTCCATAAATATCATACTTTTTAAGCATATTTAGATTAGGTGTATTTAAAAAATAAAAAATAAAAATTATGTAAAATATTAAAAAAATTCATAAAAATATTAAAAAATACATAAAACAAAAAGTTCAATTTTCTGAAAAGTAAACTCAATTTTTTAGAACTAAACATGTTTATGAATTTGTAGCGACTTATCAAGGAAAAGGAAAATGATAGAGAACTCAATAAATAAATTTGACTTATCCAATTCAATATCTTCTTATTTATTTATTTTTTCTCAATAAATCCTTTCACAAATCAATGGTCCAAATATAGTTTAAAACTTAATTTTTTTGAAAAAAAAGGGAAAAAAAATTAGAGAGTAAAAACTTAGGTTGAAAACTGGCCAAATATTGAAGTATATGGTATAAATTTAAATTTACAATAATATGAATCATATCAAGAATGAATTTGATCAACATATTACAATTTGACAATTTTTTAGATTAATTACTTTTTAGCTTCCCAGTATTATTGCACCAAGGCTCCTCTAGAGTATTTTTTTTTCTAAAGTTTTCTGAAGTAGTGTATTGTGTGATTGAGATTTAATGCCGAAAAATTGATGTGACTTGTCATTAAAGCTCAACCACACAATGCACCACTCTAAAAAATTTTAGAAAAAAAAAAACTCTAGAGAATCATCGCTCGTATTATTGAGTTAACCAAATTTTAGATACCATCTTACATTCAAAAAATTGTAACCCATTCAAACCAACGGCCATTAACGATATATTCCAGGTACATTTACGAGCCTCTCCTATTGACCAAAATTATTTGCTTATGAGTCCTACTCCCTTTTCTACCTATCAATATCATCAAAATGTCATCCCCTCATCTTCTTCATCCCCAGTATCAATACTATCATGACTCCTCTCTTCCTCTGACAGTTACCATCTTCGGCTGCCATCTACAATCGCCGACCATCTCTGACAATCGGCGAAGACCACCTTTGACCTTTGGCAAAATTTTTCTGACAATATTTTTCAACAATTCTTCAACCATTTTTTTTGCAAAAACAATGTCCATCTCCACTACATCACTACTCCCACCACCTTCTCAATTCTTGTGTATGATAAATGTTTTCAATTATCAATGATAAATTTAACATTCATAATATATATCAAACCATTTAATCAGTTACTCACACTCACACACATATATACACACTCACTTAGTTATTCATTCATAAAAATACACTCGCTCACTTACACATAAAAAAGAGTAAAACTTGTAAATTTATCATTGATCGATTTGTAAAACATTACAAATAATTCACTCACACTCTTACTCACTCACTCACTCACTCACACACACAAAACAAGAGATTGATAAATTAATCACTAATAAATGAATCTAGATCTAGTTTGCAGCTGATCTAGTTTGAGAGAAAGAGGAAGGGGATGGAGGCAAGATATGTAGACTCATCGTTGTTTAGAGTCATTCGGAACTAATTTCACCAATGGAATAATTAGATCGGTGTAGATTTAAATGAGGTCATCGAAAAATGGCAGTTAATGTGACGATCCAGACTTGCTAATCGTGATTTTAATTAATTAATTATTTGTCAATTATAACTGAACTAAGTGCCTAGTAATTTAATTTGTGCATATATGTCCAAATTGAAAAATTACCTGTTAAGGTTACAACTTTGAAATTGAAATCGAAATCGACAATCTTATTGGGTGCACAAATTGAAATTGAGTGCATGGATGGGCTCGTGGGAATTTTTGGAACCATTTGGGAAGTTTAATTGAAAATTGATTCATTTTATTGAAATTGTCTGTAATTGAATTGAGTCTTAATTGGAACTACTAATTATGTTCCTACATGTTAATTATGTGATTAAGTGTTATTGATTGTTATGAGATTTATTGACTCGTATTGTTTGAACATATAGGTTAGAATGAAAATTAAACCTGTTTGATTTGCTAATTTTAACAAGTTAGACTTAAATATTTGGATAGGAATTAGAGCCTAATTCACATTAGTATAATTTAATATAGTGTAACTGAGATTATAAGATGATGAGATTAATTTAATTTGAGTTAATTGAATACAATTTAACCTAGGAAATAAATTATTATTAAATTAGAGTTATTCTATTCATCTATCTAACAGGAAACAAAAGGAAGTAATGGATTTTGGTGAACTTTAAAAAGACACACGTACAGAGAGAAAGAGAGGAAGAGAGTTCTTGAGAGTTGAGTTTAAAAAGGTAGAAGAAAAATAGGAGCTTGAGCTATATGTCAACAAATCACCAAATTAAGGTAAATTTCATATCAAATTCATGAAATTAAAATGATACACTCCTAATTCCTTAGCATCTTAGTACAAATAGAAAGGATTTATGAGTAATTAGGAGTTCTTGGAGAAGGTGAACTTTAAAAAGACACACGTATAGAGAGAAAGAGAGGAAGAGAGTTCTTGAGAGTTGAGTTTAAAAAGGAAGAAGAAAAATAGGAGCTTGAGCTATATGTCAACAAATCACCAAATTAAGGTAAATTTCATATCAAATTCATGAAATTAAAATGATACACTCCTAATTCCTTAGCATCTTAGTACAAATAGAAAGGATTTATGAGTAATTAGGAGTTCTTGGAGAAGAAATAAAGTTGAGAATCCATATATGATCATAAAAGTAGAAAATTGAAAGAGTTGGTGTAATATATTCACATGCATGGCATAATTTTAGTGCAAACACCTATTAGGTTGCATGATCCTTACATGCATGTCATGTTTTCAAGAATTCATGAACAAAACAATTGTTTTCTTGCATGGTTTATGAACTTTAAGAATGAAATCTCAAAAGTTTCGGAAAAAAACATAATTTGTATATATATTGGTGAT